AAAAAAAAAAAAAAAAAAAAAAAAAAAAAAACTACACGCAGTATTACGATAGGCGAAACTGGTGATATTCTATATCAATGAAATTTTGCGTCTAGGTAAGATTCTCTTCCGCTTGGTAACTACATGAAAACCAAGGATAAAATACAAAATGGTCCAATTTTTGTGTGTATTTTTTGTTTTTTTCACGCTCGTTTTTTGATCGCGAGGATGTGATAAGCTAGATCAACCGATAACAGGCAGTTTTTCGGCAGCATTACGAGAATCGAGCCGTGTAGTTATATAAAATGAGACGAGGTCTGGAAAAATGTGCCATTATGTATATTTTATCTTTAATTACCGATATTCCAATGACATGGTGCTTGAATAAATTTCATCGTAAGACACTACATGTATAGTGATATCAGCAAATGTCTAAATATTAATTTAAGCAATTTACATATATATATACATACATATATATGTGTATATATATAAATTTCTCTGCATAGTAGCTAAGTATATAATATATATTACTGTTATACACATATTGATCCAGAGAAATTCTCCACTGTGAATTTAATCAATCATCACAGCAGCGATCGTGATATCATAAAAATCCATGGCTACATCATAAATTGCTTCGCTCATTTTCGCGATGTGGATTGGCCGACAAAGCGACTTCGTTTTGTACGTACACACACAACACATACAAGCGATAAATTTAAATACAGCAAGATATAATAATGTATATTTTTCTATATAAGCATACGCACACTCTTGATTTCTCACGATAACGAAGAATCGATTTCGTAAGTAAAACGAGTAGAAATGATAATCTTTTAGATAAATATGTATTTGTGTTGTAATTTATAATAGAACGTGGTAATGTAATATTCAATTATATAGCATTCAATAATAAACGATTATTATGTATGTAGATATACCGCTCCTCGTGTGTGGATCTTCATACAACACATCGTCAGGGGTATTTGTCTCTCGCGTCTCTCTCGCGCAGCTTGTCGGAAAACTCCGTTAAAAAATAAATCCAGCTCGAAAAATATATAGCTTTTATTAGAGCTTAGAGAGGTAAGGCTCACGATGTGTTTTACAATGCTCTGCGTTTATTTCGTACTATACAACTTTAAAAGAACAGGTTGTACCAAGTTTCTCAACGATAAGAGGGTAGGCGCGCTATCGTGCTAATTGCGTGATTAATGCTGCACACATCTCGAAGAATTCCATCGTGTGGTGACCCGTCGCTTGCGGAGGCGGTAACGTCGGATCTGCAAGAGGTACATGTGCTTTTTACACACGAATTACGTCCATGATCATCGACGACTCGGCCGTACGTTGAGCTCGACTTACCGCGTCCAATGTCCTCCGTCTCCTCACTCGATAACGACTTGAAATCCAACAGGTAGCTCTTGTAGTCGACTTGATACAGTTGCAGGGACATTTTGCTGTACCTATCGGTCAATTTGTTTTTGTGGCGCACTCGGACGCTGTACGCGTTTATAATTTTCCATTCCTGAAAATAATAAAAGTGTGGAACGTTGAATAATCGTTGCGTCGCGATAATGCACAGAAACATTCTGGCGCACGACGGATCTTACAAAGTTGAGTGCCTTCATAGCGCGATAGACTTCGTTCATAATGTCATTCGGCTTCGACTGCGATCTGATTCCTAAATGCCACTTCGCCCTTTTCACAGGTGTGCCGCGATTGCCCTGCGTCTGTGCTTGCGTCGTGCTGCTCTGCGAACCTTGACGTTCACGATATGCTGCGACATTAACGGTAAGATCGACATCAAGACGACATAACTTTCAATCGTAATAAGCTCGACGGGTTGAAATAATGTTTTCTCACATACGTGCGATTCTTTCAGGGTGAGGTCGCAATGGACTGCTGTTGGAGTCGTTCGGGCTGAATGCCACCGGTGGAGGACTGGACGCCACGTAGAAGTCCTTCAGCTCCGCCTTGGCAGCCTCGTCGGCGATTCTCTTATTGTCTATGATCAAGTGATACGCGATCGCCAACTGATCGTGCGGATCGCCGCCCAATAGCGCGGAATGTACTTCCGGCTCTTTGACATTGAACTTCTCGCATACCTCGTTCACGGCGTCTATATCGATAACGGACGAATCTTGTTCGACTGGCGACGGGAACAAGTATGACGGTAAATCTTTCTGGAACCACTCGTGTTTTCTGAAATTGATCGAGTATGCGTTGGATATGTGCAACACGACGACAGAAAATGTCTCAGTCGAGTATATTAATGTGTATCGCATTATTTACTTAATATCCTCGATAGTCGCTCTCCTCATGGGGTCGACTTGCAACATATGACACAAGAGACTGATGACACTCTTGTTCAGATATTCTGGGATAGGAAAGATGCCAGCTGAAACAGTCAAAAACGTTAGACAGAACCCTCTCGATTTCCTCGTGTTTGATTCCATGTTGAGACTCACATTTAATCTTACGGAAGAGGGTAGGAACATGTTCGTCATCAAATGGCAAGGTACCGCAGAGTAGCGCATACAGAATAACACCACATGACCAAATGTCTACCTCGGGACCGGCGTACAGCTTGCCGGATATTACTTCGGGCGCGGCGTAATTCGGAGAGCCGCACGAGGTGCGCAAAAACTCACCGTCCATCATCATATTTGACAGACCTACATTTTCGTAGAAGAAGATTCTCATGATCTATTCGTAGCACGTGTTCGGTACGACAATTGTATCAAAGTACCAAAATCCGCGATCTTCACGTGTAGATTGTGATCCAATAGAAGATTCTCCGGCTTTAAATCTCGATGAACTATCATGTGCCGATGACAATAATCAACGCCTGATATGATCTGCTGAAAAAATCGTCGCGCCTCGTACTCCTTGAGCTTTCCGTGTTTAACGATATAATCAAATAATTCCCCGCCAGAAACATATTCCATTATCATGAATATATCCGTGGGAGTACTTATGACCTGGTATCTGTGTGTACAAATATAAAACAAACATTGAGTATATACAAATGTGAGATGTGAGTGAAACAAATGTTGAGTACATACAACTGTAAAACAAATAGATCTAATATAAAAGATCTAATAATGTAAAGATACCAGAGAACATACAGTGTTCATCATTTTTTACTATTTACAAGATCAGGCATGAAAAAGTTCTAGATGCAATTAATCTCTTTAAACGGCAATAAGATACAATAATAACAATTTCTAAAACACCTTTTTTTGTAAAAATATCAAGATTATTCCCATTTTTTTACATAGTACCATATCTTATTTTATCTACAGTATTTTAAAAAGGGCCAAAATATGTTTCCAAAATTTCTATTATTGCATTTTATTGCCATTTAAAAACAGATTAATTTCATCTGGAGCTTTTTCCTCTCCGATATCATTGTAATTGGTAAAAATATAGTAGATATTACAGTAAGCACCCTGTAAAGAGAATATAAAGGTATATATATATGCTTGATTATATGAGGTATATTTTTAGAAACTAGCATAAATTATGTATATGCATAAAAATCTTGTTATAGAGATAATATACCAAGGCTTTATTCTGAAACCTCTTTTATCGATAAGAGTACTTCTAAAAGTTTTGAAGCTACTTTCATAGATATTTTTATTAAGAATATATAAATATATAAAACAGAGTTGAGAGAGAGAGAGAGAGAGAGAGAGAGAGAGAGAGAGAGAGAGAGAGAGAGAGAGAATTGGGCTTAAATCACAATTTGGACAAGATCCTAAAGCTTCATAATACTTACAACTTGATGATATGCGGATGCCTGAAAAGCTTAAGGTTTTGTATCTCTCTACGGATCTTGCCTACAACATCTAGACTTTTGATTTTTTGGCGATTCAAGATCTTCACAGCAACTTTGTGTTTTGTCAGTACATGTTCCCCAACTGCAAACAAATGCAATCACATGAGAGAGAAACACGTGGTAGTCTTTTTTTCTTTTTTCCATTGTGTGGGTAATGTTTGTACATACTTTTTACTTTGCCAAATGTGCCCACTCCTAATGTCTGGCCTAAAGTATAATGGCCTATCTTGACAATAGGCTGCGGTTGATTACTTGGAAGTTTCTCAGACATCTTGAATTTATTCCTGTATAATTAACGTAATTTTCAAATACGTAATTGTCAACATGTTATTGTCTCAGAATAATACTGAATCGTTTCTGTCGAAAAAACCAATATCAAGCATTTCGAGTACACAACAGTATTGTCCCGAGTTCGAAAATGTCGCTCTCGTCAAATAATGCGTCAGTTTGTCATATCAAATTTTGCAAAATTTTCTGTTAGACGGCAAGATTATCTTGTGCACACGATTCTCTCATCTTGAACAACGCAAGCTGCATTTACTCGACGTACAAAAATAAAGGGGAACTACGAAAACTGTGCGTGTGCGTCGATTGTCATTATTTTTCACTGTAGCGCTTCCGATTTTTACGAAATTGTAACAAGTGAAGAGAAACTAACGATCCAAATAATTTATGATTGTCACGTACACACAAATCACTTGTCATGTGAGAGACCGTAACAATCAAGTTACTCACCCGTACAGTCCGAGTCACTAAAATATGCTCGCTCACAAACGGCACGTCGCGATCGGACGGCAAACGAAGGGAGAAACGAAGATAAACATAAAAAATTCCGATCGTGATAATGCGCAGCCAAAATGGCACGAATCGTTCCGAGATCACCTGACACTATTTACATATTTCTAGGTGAGCCTCTTACTCACGCAGCTGTTGTACCGTCGATTTCATTCGATCGACCGTATGTCATTGCTCGTGTGCCGCAGACACGAGGCGCTATTTTTACGTCGTAAATGTGAACTACATGGAGATAATCGTTGAAAAATAATCGGCGTCGGTATCATCGATTACGATATATCATAGGATTGTCATAATCGGAATACAGAGTTCCTCTTGGCCGCACTTGCTGCACCTGAATTCTCTCCTACTCTCTTCTCAGCAAAATTTCAAACGTATACGTCCATCTCATTTTGAGAACAAGAAATGTCGCGCAGCGCAGCTGAAAGGAATGCATGTATCGCGACAATTATCGTTTCTGTCTTCAAATTGAAATCGACATAATTCCAACCAGAATTCTGATAAAGGAAATATCAATTAAATGCAAACTTTTTCTCTGTTATCATAAGATACTTACCAACGGAAACCTGCATTACCGCGCGAGTTTCCATCAAGAGTCGTGCGCACGCGACGACAGATGGCAGCGCGTGCAAGAAAAGCGATTTTCCACCTCGAAATGTATATTTTGTAACCTGTGTAAACATGTTCTACAAGTGGGTGCGCGTTTCTGATCGGAGGACTACGTTGTCTATTTATAGATTTTCGGCACTGGCGTATGTACACATATCTATTATCAATTTTCAATATTTACATGGTATCATGGTATTTCAATCACGTGACGCGTGTGCGCGAGATGCGTACTAAAAATAATCAATCCGAATACGCGCAATTCCCAACTTTTTTAAGAGCGAAATTACGCCTCAGAGGCGTAATTCTCTTTTTCATTTCCTGTATGCTCAATGAGACGTCAGAATAAGGCGTCTTCACAAGCGTGACATTGGCAATTGACGCAGACAAGATTCGTGCTTCGGCGTTAATTGAAGGCTCGAGATTACCCAAGTAGAACAACATTATTAAAGTATTCCATTTTATTATATAAAATTAGGTCAGGATAACTTTATTTTCAGTAAAAAAGTTAAGTTTCTGTTTACTGAAAAGGTTATTTGATGTCCGCCCGAAAGATAACTTTTAATATCTAAAAAGATATCATGTAGATATAAAAGTATCAAGTTGATACGTGGATTAAATATATATTAAATGATAACTTGATAAGATGCGTAAATGAACTAGCTTTTAATCAACTGTTAAATTGTTATTTAATCGATATCATATTAATGGAGACGAATTATTGACATTGACTTGTTTATCTTATAGATATTTTCCAAAAGTTAACTTCAAGAACGTTAACCAGTAGGCAACCTGTTCTAATTGAGTACAATCTGTCTTATTTCCGTTTTGAAACCATAGAGCAGGGAGCTTACTACGATTCTGTGTGAGAAGTGAAAATGCGAAAAGTAAGTGAATTTACTAGAATATTTATTCTATTTCATTGGTCAACATTTAATAAATTCGCTTACTTTTTGCATTTTCACTTCTCATTCAGAACCGTAATAAGATCCCAGAATTTCAGTTGTAAGATGGCGAGCATTTGAAAGAGAAGTGACTCTCTTACGGAATCACTTGTTGTTAATTGCATTGCATAGTAATTGGCGGCGCGTCGCAATCGTCGGCAACGCTGTCGGTTAAGGAATGACAAAAAAAACTCCACAATCCCTTCCGTTCCCAGATGAGACGTAGAAAAACAGGAAGACGTCGCGCACGACTCTTACGTGTTGCAGGCAGCCGTCTATTGAGCGAATTAATGCTTGCCTCTAAGGAGTTTCTACGAGATTACACTTCACGTAGTATACGTGACGTATCGTTCCTGTCGGATCCGCGCATCGGCGATCTGTGATCTGCAAGTCATTCACAACACAACGTTGCAAGTATCAGCCCTGCGTGTCGTCTTTGAATCATCATGAGGGAAGGTGAAACAAGATTCTCGCGATCGAATAAATTTCCGTTTCGACGATTTCAAGCGAAACGCTCGTCCGGCGCCTGATATTCAAATCTCGACGTCGATATTATTCTCTGTTCTTTTATCTTTCATTTCGAGGATAAAGTTTTCACGACGCATCGTGCTTCTTCTCTCGGTGCAAATCCTTTTTTCGACTGTGTATGTCCTTTGTTCGACTGAGAAAATTGTCTGATAAAAAATCATCAATTGATTATTTCCGATCGAATCTCAATCAATTTTCATATCCGATTGCGAGATAAATTTAATCAAATACTTCCGTTTATAATGGCGTCCCACAGAGAATTCGAAAAAAATTCAGTCGTATGTCACCAAGTCTGAGCTCATTTTTAGATGCAAAAAAATTTCTTTTCACTGAACTAAACTCTGAAGAATTTTGCATCTGAAAATAAACTCAGAATTAGTGATATACACGAATTCTTTTTGAATTTTTTTTAAATTCTCTGTGCTATCTGGAATATTATCAGATAAATCAATCGACAAATTAAGAATCAATATTTCTCATGAGATGTTTCTGAGTCGATATTCGGTCGGATTTTAATAAAAAATATTCGTTTGATGATTATCGGATAATTTCTCTTAGTATACTTGCCAATACTTCGGACGCTTCCTGTGTATTTTCGTTAATACATCTTTATTTAGACACAATTTACAACCAGTTGACAGTTGATTAACGCGTTTAATATTTAGGTCCGTTCGTCTCCGCTACGTTCTCTTCTGCTTTTCGTGATCAGAGCGACGCAGACGTGGCTTACTTTGCCTCGTCCCCCCTCCCGAGAAAAATATAAAAACTGTGAGGAATGTAGAAAGTACCTGGAGCGAGATCAGATGGATAGGTAAGCACATATTCCATTTCGTTCAGGCGCATTCTCTCTCACAGAAGAGCGCGTAGCAGAATTAGAAAAATAAAAAGTAGCTTTGTTCTTATGTCAAATCTTTTCTTTAGCATTAATACAATATACGCGAATAACAGTAGTGATCCGAAGTAATTTAAATTTATGAGAACGTCCTTGTAATTGCAAATAACGCTTTCAGAGGCCGAAGCAGACAATCAATAGAGAGGATAATTACGTCGAGGGAATCGCTTCAACGCGACAGTCGGCTACAGATCAAAGGGAAAATCCGGTCCTATTCGCAGTTTAAAAGCGATCGTTTCACAAACGAGCGGATTGGACAATCAATTTGACGCAAATACACGGTACAGACTGATGATATTTCCGGTGTTTGCGAGGAACACGTGTAAGTAGCACGTTACACAAGGCTCACACATGTCTTCAGTGAATGACGGCCTAACGAGCACGTTGGCTATAAATGTTCATTTGAATTAATAGCCGATGCTATTACCGCCAGTTTGCTATTGATATTAGCATATCTCATTTGCGACGCACATTCATAAACTAATGTTTTTGTAACGTTTTTTTAATATTTTTTCAACGTTTTGCTGACATTTTACTCTGTACGTTCATAGAAGAAGAAAGAAGAAAGAAAAACAATTCAATATATACGACGCGTGCAACGTAACTTAATGTTACACTTCAATTCTATTCATTTTTAACTCTGCTAATTACTTTCTTTCGGATAATTAGTAGCAAACACATAGGATCGCATATATTTATAGTAAAGCGCTTCCAGTTTCTCAGTGAACATCAATTAACAGTAAAATTATATTAATGTTATAATTTCTCACTCCCAGCAAAATAAATGTAATATAACACAGTATTTATGTAACAGTTGTATGTAACAGTTACATTGTTGAGTGAAAAGTGATGTAATATTGTTATTATTCAGATAGCCCAAATATTATATTCTATAAATGTTCTATGAATATTTTTTATGAATAAAAATATTGTTATATGTTTATAGTATATTCGTAATACTAATCTATAATAAATGCATATTACGTTACGAGAACTTTACATAAATAAACATGCGCAGTAAACAAACTTTACAGATATTCTAAATACATTCTTTTCTATTATAAGAATATTTGCTTGTGACATTATAAGTATATTCACAGAATATTAGATTCGAATGTTCTGGGATTAAGAACATTTATATTTCATAAGAATCTTCATAGAATATTTTGTGCTGTAAGTTGGTGTATATTTTGTGTAGGTAAGTTGATGTTCACTGGGAAACGTTTAGAAAGGATGACAAAAAAAGGGACATACAAAAAAGGGATATACAAAAAAAGAGACAATTCGACTTTCGAATTCTTCGAGTATCGAGACTGTCGAGAAATTCTAAATCTAGAGACACCGTTATGTAAATCGAAATAATAAGTCTAAATTCTTATATAACAATAAATCGAAATAATAAGTCTAAATTCTTTTTATTTTTCTCACGGGCAAATTGTATATCATATAGTAGATAAAATTCTTTTACTATTTTTAGTCGTGAGGTACACGTGTTGCGGGAAGTGATATTACCGTGAGACTTTAAATTCGGCGTTAAGCCGGCGCCAAGACGTGCAGGCCCATTGAGATTCCTGCTATATTTACACGGTTATTTGAATTATTTATCATCTGGCAGAGATACAATTTATAAGCGCGCCGTTTCTCCCACAGTCGATAGGTCGAAACGTGTGACCCCGAGAACTCGACACTTGAACGTTAGCATTTCTACGTTACACTTTATAATCACGCTCGTGGCGTTTCGACTTCGGCACGCTCAGCCGCTCACGTAACAGTTCACCCATTTTATCGGTCGACTTGTGGAATTATATCAAGGTTTTAGTTATAAATGCGCAGACGTTCGTGTCAACTTCAAATTGTATTTCTATATAGAACAGATACCCGAAATACATCTCATGGGTATTCTATAGATATTGTGATATCTATAGGATGTCCATGAGATATGTTTTAGATATTTGTTCTGTATGGGTTATTATCTCGACATGATACGCGGTCACGCGTGGGTCGTGAGCAAAGAGAAACAATAGATTAGAGCGTATCATTCAGCCAGAACAATCTCAAAATGGTTCTATGATATCCGCGTTGTTGTCTTCCTCATTTTTCTCAAGATTGCTTATCGCAACGTTTGTAATTGTCGCTCGACAAATGTACGTAGAAAGGGCTACATTTAGCAGTCGTTGACGAATTAGTCATTGACGCGCCTTTAATTCGAACTTTCAGCCATATCTCAAGCTATATCTCAATCTTCTTCGTCACAGATAGATCCGCGCGTTGTTTACTCCCCGGTGAATCATGTATATGTGATTGTTGGCTTCATCTACATAATGTTGGTCGCCGATACAAAGCAACGCTTCGGTGGAACAATATTTACAACGTTGCATTAGTATATCTTGCTTTCGGTTTCTCGATCGAGGAGCACAAAAACAAAATATATACGTATTGACCGTTTCTGGCGTGTCATATATTCCTATCCTGTGACTCAATTCTGCGATATTTCTTTATGCTCCAGGCGTATAGAACAAATCTAATGACTGTTGGCATTCGGAACATAATTTCTTCTAAGAATGAAACGAATCCAAGAAGAAATTCTTTTCCGCGATATTGAAGACTGAGTCTCCTGAATCCACATTCGTTTCCTTTTGTGTTTCCGTGTCTTCATGTGAAGGTAAAGTAAATGTCTTAATAAATGAACTGATAAGAGAGCACATTCAGTGTTTTATATTTTTATTAATAAATATTTAATGGAATTACTAACAAAATTAACGCTTATATAAAGATTTGATTTGTCTAATCGAAAAGTAATAGGAAATAATATAATTAATAAGTAATCAATTACAATTTTAATGAAATATAAAATAATGTTGGTTGTGCCAGTAATTGAACTGAAAAAGGGATAATGTCTTAATTACTAAATACCCAGGTAGCAAGGTGACGTCTTTAGACGTCACCTTGTTTCCTGAGTAATACAGATTCAATTAAATGATCTTTACTTAACACTACAAATTGACATAAAAAATATATTTTTTAATTCCAGGAAACAAAGAACAAAATTCAGAAAAATATCAATTATCAATATATTATTAATATTTTAATTATTGGAAAAAGGTTCAATTTTTTTTTACTATATTTACTTTATTTGAATTTAATGATAAGACCGCTATTTCGATATATTTCGACTCAAAAAAGATAATGATGACTAATTTCACAATCACTTGTCATTAAAAGCCGGAATCGACAGATAAGAATGGAAAAAAAAAGAGATAAACCTTCCGCGCGAGTTGACTTGTAAAATCAACATCCGGTTTCTCCAATCAGAAGCAAATCGTATTTCTCCTAAATCAAAACTACGTAGATCTACTATTTTTCGTCGTATATATATTTCTGTGGTTTATTTTAAAAGCGGCGTAGATCGAGTTTCGAAGCGTCATAACGCTATTGGGGATGCAAATGTAAACTCGCGCGTTTATATAGAAAATTCTAGAAACTCTAACTCCGCGACCGGTTACGAATTATATCATTCCGTTTCTCCGGATACTTCGCGTTTCTCTCTTATCAATCCTAACATAGTATCACATTAAGTCAACACACAAGTTCAGATACTGCTCACACTAATCGATTCTACTAAACTTCGCTTGGAAGCACAACAGAGAAAGAAATAAAGAAAGAGACAACTCGTGGAAATATCATGCTTGACGGCGTAGATTCTTTCGTGATCATGTAGGCTAATTAAGTCGAAGATTATTTACACAATATCTCATGATAAAAGAAAAAAAAAGAAAAGGACAAAAACTGAGAGAAATGATAAGAAAAGAAAGAGAGCGGGCGAGCAATAAATAGATATATAGACGCGGTCGTTATATGCTACGCGTTCAATTTGCGATTCAAATAGACTACGAGTTACCGCGTCGCGCTGCTCAGCACCGAGCGCGGCCGAGCGATGGCGATGATTACCGAGCGCGACCGAGTGGCGCGATGGTGGGGGATCAGTCGGTGACGTATCAGCGAGCAACGGCGAGCGGTAGTCAGACGTTGTCGCGGTCGATCGTAGGTCGTGAGACGCGAAAGCGCAAAGAGAGTGGTGTTGTCGTTTCTCGAGTGCTCGAAATTCCACTTGCTGCTCGCATACGACGCGATGGTGATGATCGTTCTGTGATACACATCTGAACGTATCACCAGATCGTAAACGAGGTTAAGTGCGCGTCGGACGAGGAAAATCTAGAAGTTTCCGGGCGTGACGCGCAGGTAACGTCGTAGGGCAACGTAACGTCGCTCGCGATGCATAATAGGACTAGTGCCATAGCGACGGAGTGTCGTCGTCGGAGGACTTTGACAGGCGCGATCGTGACGCACGGTGTTCTCTGGCTGTTGTTGACCTTGTCCAGTCTTACAAGCCCGGTGAGTAACGCATATCTTGCTCCGATGTATATTGCGAACGGCGCTGACGACAGCGGCGGTAAGCTATCATGTACGCGTCCTTTCTACGACGCTCGTATTGTGTGTGAGTGTGTGTGCGCGTACGTGTGTACGTGTATTCGTGCGCAACCCTCTTTTCTTCGTCTTTCTCTCTCTCTCTCTCTTTCTTTCTTTCTCTCTCTCTCTCTCTCTCTCTCTCTCTCTCTTTCTTTCTTTCTTTCTTTCTTTCCCTTTCTCCCTCAAGGCTTACACGATTCACGTCTGTCTATATTGTGCCCACACCCTTGGTAAGAAGCAAAAGGATGGCGGTGCTCGCGCGTTCGTTTCACGTCGCGTGACGTCATCTCGAACGATCGCCACGAAGGCCTATCGTTGTCCTCCGTCTTGTGCTCGCGACGGATTTATAAAATTTAATTATATACTTTCTCTCTCTTTTTTTCTTCAATCGTAACTTGGCAAGCCCGACACTTCATTCGAGGGCGAATTTACTGTCGTTTCGGGGACAACGCTTGACAATGTTTTGCCGGCGGTCGGGTCGAGGTCAACGGGAATCGTATTACGGGCTCGAACGCGATTTTTCTCGTCTCGCAACACGCCGACGTCCTCGTGTCTGAGTTCCATCGATATAAATGGTTTCAGCTCGAGATGAGGAAAATATTCCGGTGCACCTTGGGCCGATTGTCGTCAGCTTCTGCAACGCGGTTAACTCGCGCTGATCGCGAATCCTTCGTCCGTCCCGTCCCGACCCTTCGCGCCCCGAACTCGGAATTGTCGCATGTAACCTGACGATGAATACGGGAGAAGAATTGGATTAGCTACGATTGATTCAGCGCTAAACGATGTTAGCAATGTGCTACGGGCAGATTGGCTACTCACTGCTGAACAAAGAATGTCCCTCTCCCCTGTCGCAGTCTTAGACTAAAAAAGGATTCTGCATTCAACAGCCCCTCGTTCTTCTCGGCTATACTTTCCTAAAATTTGTGGCCTTCTGCGAAAGAGAGAGAGAGAGAGAGAAAGAGACGAGGGTATATTCACGAGCTAAGGAATACAAAGGAGGAAGAGAGGAAAGTAGAAAGTGCAAACGGTTTTTCTTTACAAGCTCTCTTATCTCAAACACAATAAGCGTGAAATTCTGTTAATTACGACCGAACATTTTGCACTATTCTGGAGGAATGTTTTTTTTCGTATATTTTCATATTTATATTTACTTCGTTTGAGACACGTGAAAATATGGCTACATGAGAATCACTGCCGGTGATCATCACCGTCGTTCCGTGAAATTTCTACCTGAAATGAGCGAAATCTGATACATGCATTGCGTCTAAAATAAGCTGATAATACAGAAAAGTTCCACTAATGAGAGTCCTTCGAGAATTCTTTATTCATTATTGTTCATAAATATCGGTAAACAACCGTGTGTGTTAGTAATGAAGTGATAAAAATCTAGAGTTATTCCTATCGTCCAGGTACAGAATTAAGGATGCAAAAAACGAGAAAAATTTTAATCGGAGCTCATGACATAAATTTTGCGTTCGCATTTTGACTAAAGCTAATAAATGTCGTACTTTTTGTTCGCCCGTATAAAACGATCGCGGGAATGGTCAAAAACACATTTTTTTTTCTTGTTTGGGGGAAGTTCGTGCCAGACGCATTCGAAAGTGTAACGCCCATTGCATGACTTATATTCCTTCTAAACGCATGACTCACACAAAGAGCTGATACGGAGTGTCGTTTTCCTCTTGTAACACGAACAAGTGCGTTGTTTTTTGCACTTCAGCACAATCAGGTCTTCTTTATCTTTCCCGCGAGTTCGCGAATCTTATATTTTCGACGAAACACCTGTTTCATCATAAAGATATGTGAAAATGTCAGTGAAAAAAGGCGTACCTAACACGTTAAACTAAATGAGTACCACGTGAACACTAAAAATTTACTGATAATAAATATCAATGCGATTAGTCGACAAATGTCAACACGACAGATAGAATAAGCGAATCTATTTCGGAATAGCACTTATTTCGAAACACTTTAATTTTTTTCCTGTATTAGCCGTCAAATAATATCAAATTTCCATGTTAGTAACAAAGAACATGTTCTTTGTTACTAACATGGAAATTTGATATTATTTGACGGCTAATAAAATTAAAAAAAGGAAAAAAATTAAAGTATTTCGAAATAGGTGCTGTTCCAAAATAGGTTCACTTACTCTATCAGGACTGTAAGACGGAAAAATTTGTCCCGATATCACAAGATAAAGCAACTTGTTCTCCCCCAATTATACGTCATTGATGTATAATTTACTTATTTTTAACCAATAACTTATTTTTAACTTCCATCAAGCCTCCCGTGGGAGTTGTTCGTTCAACTCGGCGCTTCAAAGTAGATAAATTAAATCGTTAATTCAGCTCATTGCGTCAAATAAATCTTATATCAGACCTTAATACGAGGGTCATGAAGAACTCAATTAGGCGACGCCTTATGCAATATTCTTCTTTGTATGGGCCTCGAGCGCGACTGGTGAAACTCGTCACGCATCAAACGATATTATTTAAGTCGCTCTGTGTGCGATGACACTGTTCGGTAATAAACATTAAGTGTGTGCAACTGTATGAGGTATCCTTCAATATCCATACTCGATACTAGGTAAGCTGTGCACAAAATCGATTTTAATAATTGCGCTGATTTCGCTATGTTGAGAAAAAAATAGTAAACATTTTATCTGGTAGGTACTAAATACTCTCTCTCTCTCTCTCTCTCTCTCTCTCTCTCTCTCTCTCTCT